TTTTCTATATTATTAGAAAACCTGGAAGACAACATAAAACAGTTTTTAGGCCACAACTATTAAACCAGTCGGATGCACACAAAAAGTCCTCTTTAGAAATATGACATGATATAAACATGTTCTGTGCCATTATATGTAAATTATTAAAATCCTTTAAAGTGTTTAAACGTATTCGAGATTCATCCTTTCTATCCACTTGATGTTTTCCCCTTGTACCTGAGTGCACGGAGAGCAATTTATCTACATCTAAACAGGGTTTTTTGTTTGTCTGTTTTCCCGGGTTACAGATTCAGCAAGAAAGGAAGTAGGAGGGGTGCCTGGCTGGCTCAATCCGGAGAGCATGGGACTCTTGATCTTTAAAAAAAAGAAAGAAAAGAAAGAGAAGGAAGGAAGGGCGGAGGCAGAGAAAGAAAAGGGTGAGGGGGACAAAACCCCATCAATAGCGTCCTTGCACGCCCCCCTTGGGTCCTGGAAATAGAAGCTCAGTCACTACCCCACTTGGGGAAGGGGCTCAACTGAATACACACCACAAATCAGGTTGCCTGTGTCTGCTTGGACTCAGAGTGGAGCCAGGACAAGCTCAAGGACAGGACGAGATAAGACCAAGCACCATTATCACAGGGCAGCCACCTACCTGACAGTGCCAAGGCAGACAATCCTGGAAAGCTCTTGAAAACTTCCCCTTCCCCTTGAAGACTTTCCCACCCGCTCCCCCTCATCCTCCCACCACGGGGAAAGGATCCTTCACCTTCCGTTGGGCCAGGACCCTTGAAGATCCCTGCAGGGCAGGAGAGCCTGGAGGGCAGGAGGATCCAGGGGGCAGCAGCTGCACTTCCCTGAAGGGTCTCTCCCCGGGTGGGGGGGTTCTAGAGCTCAGGCTCACCCTAGATCCACTGCCCACCAAAGCCACCAGGAGGAGTCCGGAGGGCAGCCGGTGCTGGGGGCACGACAACCTGGACGTGTTCCTACAAGCACAGGACACGCCTGGCCTGCCCTCTCCAGGAGAGCCGAAGAACCAACCGCCTGCCTGCCTGAAGCTTCTCTACAGCCTGAAGGGAACAGGTGTCTGCTTCCTGAAGGAACAGGAGGGCTCTCCTCCAGAGGACAAAGCCCTCCCCTGGCCCTGGAGGAAAGGTCCTGCAGAGGCTGGTTCTGCGGGACACTGCCCAAGGCAAAGGAGCAACCGCGGACCAAACAATCATCTGGAGATGACTGCACAAGTCCTGTCTGTACATGTGGAGCGAGAATGAGAAAACAAATGTGGGGCAATGTTAACTGGTGCACCTGGGTGAGGGATATAGGATGTGACCATTCTGGCAACTGTTTTGGTATGTTTCAAAGTTTGTTTGTTTGTTTGTTTGTTTGAAAGGAGTGACAAAGTCAAGTGCCAGGTTCTCTTTAGAGGAAAATGCTTGAAGTGAGACCTTGGGTTTCTGAGGTGAATGGAAGGGAGCCGCTGGCCTGGCTTCTCATCCCAGCTCTCCTCTCCCAGCCTGGCCATTACAAGGACCCGGACTCCTGACCTCCCGTATTTTAGGGGCTCAGTGCACAGCCACTTCTGCAAGCGTCCCTGGGTGCACACCAGACTCTGGGGGATGAAAAGGCAAATCCTAAGTATGGAGACAGCCACAAAGTCTCCTGGATTGGAATCGAACCTGAGCAGTAGCGGTGAAAAATCCAAATCCCATCCCACCGATCCGATCCCGGGGAATCCACCCACACAGGATCCCTGCTTCGGCCCCTGCAGATGAAAACCCTGAAAGTCAAGGTGACATTTCCCAGGCGGACAGAGCACAAGCGGAGGCGATTCCCAGCGGCGCAGGGCTGAATGCAGCCGCACAAGGCTCCCAGCCCTTGCCCTGCTGCTCACCACCTCTTCCAGCCTCAGCGACCCCTTGGGCCCTGACCACAAGGTGACTGGCCTGTGCCACACTCTAGTCCAGCTGGAGCCGTGTGTGTTGCAGAGCCAAGGCCGTGCTCTCTTTCTGAGCCTCGTTTGCTGATGGGTAAGGTGCGGACTCGGCTCTCAGCGGGGGGGAGGGGCGGAGGGGCGGAGTCCCTCTACTTGGCGACTTCCGAAGTAGCTCCAGAGCTGTCCTGACGACGGCACGGGGACGGGCTCCTTTGGTGTCCCCATGGGCTCATTAGGTGGAGCCTGAAACGCCTCACCTACGCGTCTTTGGCTCGGGTCCCAGGTGCAGCTGGTTTGTGTTCTTTGCGTTCTGTCAGGCAAATAAATACACCTGTTGCGCAAATGTGCCGCCCAGGGAAGAACGTGCTGCTTTTCAGAGCCACGGTCGCTGTGAGCCCGTCGGGCAGACGGAGGCGCCAGATGAGCAGGTCAGCGGATGCGTGGAAGTAGAGGTAACCTGAAGTGGGCCTCGTCCTGCGTGCCCTTGTTGGAGTGACTAAGTGGGTGTGGCCCGCTCTCCAAGGTGACTGGGAGCAGACACACAGCGGCCAGGCCTGGTGGTCGAGTGCTGAGAAGGCTTTCAGGTGGCGGTGGGACTCCGGCCCTCGTTCTTTTTGCGTTTTAAAGGACAATAGATGGGGTTGGAGTTGGGGGGGGTAGTGGTAAAAGGAAGCTGTTTCCGCCCGGTTTCGAACCGGGGACCTTTCGCGTGTGAGGCGAACGTGATAACCACTACACTACGGAAACGAGGCAGGCGGCCTGGTCTCCGGCTCTAACCCCCAAAAGCGGCATTTCGGCCACACCTTAGCTGCCGATTCGCCGAACGCCCAAGGCTCGGATAACAGCCACGACCCCTGTAGCGGAATGAAGCGGCCCCGGCAAAGGACCCCGCAACGCCCCGCCACCCGCCCCCAAGGACGGGACCCTAGCGCCCTCAGCAGCCTGGCCTCGGGAATCGCACCGAACGCAGGGTGTCCGCCTCTAGGACGAGGGGCCCCGGGGCAGACGTCGGGTGCGCGCTCTTCCTCCGCCAGCCCGTTGGCTCTGCGCCGCCCCGCGGCTCTCCCGGCAGAGCGGAGTCTCTTCGGTGTCCTCTGGGCGAAGGGGGTCCCTCGGGCTCCTGCCTGCGCTGCTTTAAAGCCACTGACAGGAGGTCCGCGGCCAACACGCTCCAGTGAAATCTAGGTCACGGACCAGAGGGATGAAAAGGAAGAGCCAGAAACCGAGTTGAGTGGCACCGAGCGGAAGAGTGGCAGAGCCACGACTGGGGAGGGAAGGTCTCTTCCTACCTGGCGTTTTGAGTGATTCTTGGGTGGGCTGCCTTGGAGTCTCCCGAATAGGCTGGTGGTGAGACTCGGTGTGACCACAGCCACCTTCAGGGGGGCCTTCAGCATTGGGAACAAAGTGAAGACGAAAAGCCTAGAAAAATAGGTATTTTTAAAGCTGTTTCCTCTCTCCCTCCCGCATTGGAGTGTGTACGGTATTACTGCGTGATCTTGATTGCACTGTAATTTAGCACGACTTTCCTAATATTTGGCAGTTTCTCATACAGTGAAAAACCTGACCTGCCCCGTTACCTAGGACTATTGCTATTCACTCCCCCAGAAAAATGAATGCCAACATCCAAAGAGGCTTCTACAACAACGTTCGTGCAACATCATTCATACTAGGCAAAACCGGATACAACCCAAATGCCCCTCAACAGAGGTGATACACAAACCCTTGTATATGTTTAGAATGGATTAAGTACTCTGTAGTAAAAACATCCAAACTAGGGTTTAGGCGGTAACACGGATAAGCCCCTCGCATAGTTATATGTACCTGTCTGATACTCCTGGGTGATTCCATTTCCAGGAAGTATTAGCAGAGAAGAGTGGTTCCCTCTTTGAAATAATTTGCCGGGAAACTTCCCGGGCTGATGGATATGTTGCATATATTGTTAGTACAAGCATTTACACGTTTATCACATTATTGCACTGTATACTTGGAATATCTTAACTCCACTTACCCTCCTCATTTTTGAGTTATTGGCATTAATTTTATTTCAAAATACATTTTATCTATTTTATTTATTTTTGACAGAGACAGTGACAGTGCGTGAGCAGGGAAGGGGCAGAGAGAGACGGAAACACAGAATCCGAGGCAGGCTCCAGGCTCTGAGGTGTCAGCACAGAGCCCAACGCGGGGCTCAAACTCGTGAACTATGACATCATGACCAGAGCCAAAGTGGGACGCTTGACCAACTGAGCCACCCAGGCGCCCCTCAACATACATTTTAAAAACATAGGCATTATTACCATTGCTCAGAGAGTCATATTTATTTGACTTAGCCACGTATTTTACCTATTCATTGCCCTTCCTTCCTTCCTTCCTTCCTTCCTTCCTTCCTTCCTTTTGCACAGTTCCCCTGTGACCTGTGCAGTTACTTCTGCCTGAAGAGTTACCTTTTGCACTTTGCATTTCTTTTTCGTTAGCTTATGTGGAAAGGTCTTCACTTCACTCACCCTTGAAAGATACTGGGTCGGGGACAGCACGTGGTGGCTGGAAATCATACTGCTCTGGCCCTTCATTGAGGTCTTGTTTTTCATGTTTTTGCTGAGATTTCAGCTCCCAATCTTTGGACGATGTCATAGGAGTGTCCCCTCCTCCCCACACCCCAATCTGGGTGCTGCTGTGATTGTTTTCAGCTGCCCTTGGTTGTTCAGCAGTTTAGGGGTGTGACCTTCTTGTCCTTACCTGGCTTGCAGTGCACCGAACTTCTTGCACATGTGGTTGGAGAGACCATCATGATTTTTCTTTGATTCTCCATGATATAGTTTCTGCCCCACTTTCTGGTCCTCCAACCCCTGAGACTTTAATTACACACGTGTTAGGACTTCATGACATGGCTCATTATCTTTGTTACGCTCTTAATATTTCTTCCTTTTGGCTCTGTATGCTTCAGTCTGGAGAGTTTCTTTCTACTTACAAATTTCGAGGTTAATACTCTCTCTACCATTGAGTCCAAGCTGCAGTTAAACTGACCTGCTGACTTTTTTTAAAATGCCAACTATTACATATATTTAATTTTCATGTGATTTTAAAACTAGATTCTATTTCTCTGATGAAATATTTTATCTTGTCATCTATTTTCTGAACAGCTGAATCATACCACTTTACCTTTTTTTTTTTCTAACTTTTAAGTAATATATTTTTTCAAGTTTCAATTTATTTACTTTGAGAGAGACAGAGCGAGACAGAACAAGCTCGGGGCAGAGGAAGAGGAAGAGAGAGAGAATCCCAAGCAGGTTCTGCCCCATAGATCTCACCAACCTTAAGATCATGACCTGAGCCTGAGCCAAAATCAAGGCAGATGCTTAACCGATCGAGCTACGCAAGTGCCCCTGATTTTTAAGTAATTTAAAGAAATTTTATTCAAGTGACCTGTACACCCAACGTGGGGCTCAAACTCACAACCCAGAGAGATCAAGAGTCACGTGCTCTACCCACTGAGCCAGCCAGGCTCCCCTGAAACCTACCGCTTTGAGTTCTTATCTGAGAACTCAAGATCTCAAGAGGCAATTTCTACGGTTTGCCTTCTTTCTCTTGCTTCTCTTCCTTTACAATCCTAGAATACGGTGATTGAATGATGAACCCGTGGTGTGAAGGACAGCCAGGCTGGAGATGTTGTTTCTCTGAAGATCTTTCACCTTCTCCCCCAGCAGGCAGCAGAGGGGCGCATCACCTCTAATCCTTGACGAAGCTGATTTGCAGCTGGTTCGCCCTCAGGGAAAGCCTCAATCTACAGCTAGTTTGCTCACACTGCTGTGCTGCAGACGTCCGGGGCTCCCACCTGCGACCTTGGTATGTTTCCTTGGGCCCCTCCTCTTCCATGAATCCTGAGCTTCAGTTTTTATCCCCTAAGCACCTCGGTAGTGCTGCAAATTCCACTCTCTTTCAGCCACACTCTGCTGGCCTTCCAAGCCCCTTGATGCACATAGCTTAATTTGCAAATGTATTGTGGGGAACTTCTGTACCAAGCACCCAGCTCACTTAACCCATTCCAGGATCTTGGCTGCTCAAGTCTGAATCCTTGGACAGTTCCATATGTCCTTCCTCTCCCCCCCCCCACCCCCCGGCCCCCCAACTTCTCTGTCCAGACCTATGAGATCACTTAACATGTTGTTTTCTCTGACTCTTAGTAGCTTCCCTCTCTCCAGTTTCTCAGTCTCCTGTTCCTGCCAAGAACTGGCAAATGCCCTGAGGGGATAACGCAGAAAATTAGTCTCATTCCATTGAGTTTCTCTTCTCTCTCATCTCTCCCCTTGAGCTGAAGGACTGGTGGGTCCTATCTGCATTGATAGTTCTCCAAATCTTCAAGCAGAATTCCTTCCATTCAAACTTCATTCATTTCTTTTCAGGGCGAATGCTGTTCTGCTACAAATACTCCATCATCACTGAAAGGTGAAATCTACAATTTCCAGATAAATCACATTTTCTTCCTCCTTTTGTTCTTAAAATAAGGTGGGGGGGGGGTGTCACTGGTGCATAGCTGAAGTTTTCTTTTAATACCCCCCCGGGGAAGTCTGACTGGATATCAAAAGCTCTTGCTAGAAGCACGGGCAA